ACGACGAAGAACAGATCTGAAATCTTCCCTCTGCTGGATCTCAAGTCTCACCTTATGTTCAATAAAGCCTTCTGGATTCTCTGCAGTGACTTTCACCTCTCCTGTGTCATACGATTTGCAGTCCACAATATCCAGGTAGTAGATTCCATCATACCGGAGTCTAAACCTTTTGCTCTTACGGATGAGCTGTCCATTGAGGTACCAGTTGACCTTAGGCAAAGGATAGCCAGTCACACGGCAGCGGAATCGTGCTGTTTCACCTTCCAGGACTCTTGCAGGTTCAGGAACCAAAACAATTTCTGGTTTTTGTTTTTCCTTTTGGTCCACTGCAACTGCAGGAAGAGCACCCTCATGAGCCATTCTTTCTAACTCTTCAATTCGCTGCAGTCCCCTTCTGCCTTCTGGCAACTGGGATTCTTCCACAAGGCTTTTCTCATCCTTCACGATCAGAGTAGCGGATGTATGGTCTGTACCATATTTGTTAGTTGCCCTGCAAGTGATCACTCCACTATCTCTGGAATAGGCCACTCCATAGTCCAAGCTACAGTACCCAAACTCATTGATCATGCGGAGTCTGTTAGCTGCTTCCAAGGGTTTGCCATCATGCAACCACTCCACCACCATGGTTGGGTCACCAATTGGTGTAAGCCTGCACTCAAAGTGTGCTGGTCCAAATTGCTTGAGCCTCAGAGATGTGAGCTTCTTCTTAAAAAATGGTTTCTGTTGCTTTTCTTTGTCATAGAGATCTCCTTCCTCCCATTGCTCTTGACCATAACGTAAATGGAGAGGCTCTAACTCTGGTGCTGCAATCTCCTTGGCTTTATAAGTTCCTTTTGGAATGATTAATCTCCTTTCTGGTTCAGGTTCTGCATGTTGAACTTCAACATTTACTTTGCACCGAGTAGTGTCCCGCCCAGCTTTATTGATAGCAGTAGCAGTATACCATGCAGCATCTTGCCTGGCAGTAGATTCAATTTTAAGGGCAGCCGCCCCCTTGGTTCCCTCAATCCTGAAATATTAAAACAATTTTTTAAAAAATTTTTTGCACTTCTTTGTTATTCATTTTTGCCTTTCTCCAAAATTAGCTCAAAACCTCCAAAAGTAGATTTCTGGAGGAATTAGACATGTTGTTTACATTTATTACTGTTTATGAGTGCAGTGCCTAAGAATCAAACAGATAAGGATAATAATAACCAGTCTTGAATTTAATGGCAGTTTTGCCTGCAGAGGACTTAAAATCAGAGACAGATAAAGGTTCCCTAAATCTCTGTTGTAAAAGCATTGACTCTGCAGAATACAAAATACAAAAAAACACAGGCTGGAAAAAATGGAGTGAGTCCTACAAAGTATTTTATATCTCTTAGCCTTGCTAAGAGTAATGCAAAAGCTGTTAGTAGCTTCAGTAGTCGTTGGACTAAGCCCCTAGTGAATCCCTTCTAGGGATTCAGCACACAGTAGGGGGCACTTTGCTATTTAAACAAAATAAAAATGCTTACTTTATTTTGGGGTATTTATGAGGTACAATGATGTCACTGTTCTTCAGCCATACAATGTCAGGATTAGGGTTACCAGTAGCTTTCACTGCCATCTCCAGCCTAGAGCCCTCCTTTACACTAACATTCTTCAGTCTTTCCACAAAGTGTGGTCTGACTAGGTCTTCCTTAGCTGAAAGAGCAAAGGTAAGTTATCCAAGAGGAAATGACATAACCATGGTTTTTAATAAGAAACACTCCTCAGCCTCCTAGAAACAGCATGCACAGTAGATACCTTCCACAGTCAGTGTCATTGAGACTGAAGCTTTGCCTGCCCTGTTCTGAGCAATTACAGCCCATTCTCCAGAGTCATCAGGCATAGCAGGAACAATGATCAATGACTGAGTTCCATCTTCTTTAATCACTATTTTATGGGTGTAGTCATTAACCACTTGTTGACCTGCAGATACATACAAAAAAAAAAAAAAAAAGTTGCACTCAAAACAGTGTCTCAACAAGATGTAAAATACATATAAGATTTTTTTTTTTAAGATTATTGAAAACGGTGAAAATGAGACTGATGTACCATTATGGAACCAGTATGTCTCTGGCATAGGTCTGCCAACAACTTTTAAGTCAAATCTTGCTGTCTGCCCCTGTGCACATTTAAATGATGTAGGTTTCAGTACGAAAACTGGCTTATATAGTCTCTCTAGTTGTCCTTCATCGGTTTCTTCTAATCTGCGGGCAGGAGAACGAGAAGGAGAACTGCGGGCAGGAGACCGGCTTGGAGAGCGTGGAGAAATAGACCTGGAAGGAAAAGATAAGACATATGTGTATGACGTCATATAGCAGTGGGCTGACACAATAAACGGAGTTCAACTTTTGCTTTTAGCATAATTTATTTTAAAGAGGTTTTTCAATTTATCTGTGTGAGAAATTGTGACAAAAGTAATTTTTATTTGTAGTCAATTTTCTTGAGGTTTTTGACAGTAATTTGTATAGCTGAATAGTATGAGGACATACTACAGGCAGGGAAATTTTGGGGGTTTGGATATTGTACAGATATGGGTGTAATCCTGTGTACGTTTGTGCATGCGTGTGTATGTATATGGAGACAGAACACAGTACATGCCAACACTGGATTTTTTTCTGTCATAAAATACAGCTATTTCAAGGGTGGGGAGTAAGAGTTGCGCACAGTACTAAAACTCCCAAGTGCAGAAGAATTTTCTTCCAAAACATGAGTACTTTAAGAAATAAATATGGTTACTGACGTTGTAAATCTGATACTGTGGCTAGATATGCATGTGAATGATGGTACTCTGGGAACTGCATTGCTCATTAAGAAGGCAAATCAGATAAAGAGTTGGCACATAAATCAATATAAGCCATGAAAACAGCATTTAGAGTTTCTCTAGACGTATGCAAATGCCACTAACTTAAGCCGTTTAGCTGCTGTGTAATGCGTTTTTGGACTGTCTATCACAACAGACTGAGGTCTCATGAAATTTATATATTACTGTGTACCCACCTATATCTTCTCATAACTTCTGGTCCTGGCATATAACCTGGAGTTGCTGTGGGTGCAACTGGCTCAACGTAGAGTTTTGCTGAGCAAATGGCATTTCCTTTCATATTACTGGCAAAGACAGTATAAATTCCTTCATCTTCAGGTAAAACAACAGGCAAATGCAGACTGGCACTGCCGTCTTGCAGAAGTTCCATACGGTAGCGCTCTCCATGCCTTATGCGCTTACCATCTTTGTACCATGCAATCTGCATGGAAAGAAACAGTGGAATGCTATGTGAGCTTTCCTAAAGACAAAGATCCAGTAATGTTCCATGCATAGAACATATTACAACTTCCTATTTTTCAGCTGTTGCATCATCACAGCCTATGTATATATGTTAACATTAACATTTTTACTTAAAATAAGTGAGGCTAAATTAACATGTTTTCACAGTAGCCTGAAACATGAGTTTTGGAGCTAGAAGCAGATATAAATCCCATTTTGACAAACAGCAAAGTGACCTAGACCAGATTTGCTTTTGTGTTCCCTGCTTGTGTGAGCTAACTCAGATATACTCGGGAGCAAGACCAGTTTAACTGGTAAATCTCACCTACCTCTGAACTGGCTAACTAACACAACACTATTCTATTAAGGAAAGGAAAATTCAGCTTGATAGCAAAACAAAAGACTGGCTTTCCTTTAAGATTTGCTGTTTTCTATGCAGAATGTAGAATGACTGACAATGAGATGTTAAGACATTTTTCAAGTAGAGCACCAGATGGTTTTTTAAAGAGAGTAATGTCATACAGGTTTGGGGTACCTTCGGCAATGGATATCCAGTTGTCTTGCAATGGAAAGTAACTCCTGTCCCTTCAAAGGTTCTGTAATTCTTTAATCTTAAATCAAATCCTGCTTCTATAGCTTCAGATTGAGAAATATCAACCATCATCTCCTCTCCATCTTCTTCAAGAAGTTCATCTAAGGTGGTCTTAATAATTCTGAGTTCGATTTCCTTGATAAGTCTTTCTTCAAAAGAAGAAATGTGGAATTCCTGTACAGAAGAGCAAGACTATTAGTTCTGTGTGTCAGATAATGACCTTGTAAAGAAGTGATTTGTACTGGTAAAATGTTGGTGTATAAATTCAGTATGGAGTGGCACACATACCTCATCTTCTACAAAAGTTCTGACCATCACTGTATCTTTCGCCATTTTCTTCCTAATTAGGGCTTGTTCTTTTTCATATTCTTTTTCAAAGTCACCATATGAAATAGCTGGGGCTACCTCAGCCACTTTAGGTTCCTGTACATATGCAGTCACTTGAGTTTGGTACATCATTTCTTGTTGTGATTTTATGTAGGCTTCATAATCAGCTAAGAAATAAGAACACATTAATTTTGACAAGTTTTTGTGGTTTTCACTGGATTGAATAGAGAAAACAAGTACAAACTTATTTTACTGGTTTTGGTGATTCAAGCAGAGTTTCTGTCTGTTTAGCCAATAAAATACAAACAGCAATAAAATACAAAGACCGATGCCCTCAGATGAGCTTTATAAACAGGTAAAAGTTTCACTGCTATTTAGGTGTTCTAGTTTTCAAAGTGGAAGCGCTTGTAGAGTCTGTTTTACAATTTCTTCACTGTGGCTCTGTCTCCTGCAAACTTTCATGAGTTTTAACATGGACAATGGATTAAAAAAAAAAAGTTAGCTTCTTTCCCTGTAATAGAACTTGATTAGACCCCTTTCCCCACATCACTCTGAATGTCTTATGTTATGTAGACTGTTATGGACATCAACAGAATAAGGTTCCTATAGGTACACATTCCAGCAAAGAGTATAAGTCCTTCAAGAATCTGATGTCAAATTCTCTGCCTTGCAGAAACAGAGCCACCAGATCTCCCTTTATGTTTCTTGAATTGATCAAACTAAGCTGCAAAGAATTTTCAGCACAATTTAAAATATTTCTCCCATTTTAAAGTTAATTTTAAGAAATATTTTTCCCATTTCTTTAATCTACTATGTACCTTCTTCTAGTAAGGAGACCGTTGCAGAAGCTTCACCATGTTTATTACGAACAACAATAGTGTATTCTCCGGCATCGTCGGCAAAAGTCATGGAAATTTCAAGTTTGCATTCCCCGGTTTCTCTTTTGTAACTTACTTTGTATCTATAGAAAATATAAGTACAAGCTTTCTATAATTCTGATGAATATACTTTTTATTGAATTTGCTTTTAGTTATACAGTTAATTAGAATAACTCCTGACTTGTATAAGACAAAAAAAGAGGAACTTTTGCAGGCAATTCTCACTCAATGAATCTGCAGAACAGCACAGGAAAAGTTACCATGCTGAAACTAGAGTACAGGTCTACTTTCTTCCTGTTGTCACTAAAATAAATGAGATGTAAACAGCGGTACTGAAATATCAGAGATCTAGTTGTCAGACACAGTAAAATGGTATATGCTGTGTGCACATAGTTTATCTTAATATGGGTCATTACAGCATGATATATTTCAAGAATGCGATAAATATATTCTTTTTCCTCTGCTAGAAAGTGTGTTGCTTTCTATAGACAACATTTGCATAGACAAAATGCAAACATTGCACAGACAGGATAAAACAAATGCAAAACTTCTTCCTGATTTGTTTTTAAGGATATGCATAATTTCTCTTTTTACATTCTTTTGAATATTTGTATTTTAAAACTTAGAGGCCTTCTAAAGTTTCACATTAAGACATGATCCTAAGATTTTTCCATTTCAAAAATAAAGTTTCACAGAAATCAGTGATGTTATTTGGCTCAGCATCAGAAAGGGAATCAAAATTATGGCATTGCCAATTAAATATTCTTTAAAATTATGCTTAAATAGTTTTTGTGCATTGTATTCAAAGTACCTGTAGCCAGTCGTTAGAGGAACTCCACCTTTTTTCCAGTAGACATGTGGCTTTGGGTTGCCCCCTACTTGGCATTCAAAAATAATGCTCCCACCTTCAATTAATTTATGTACTATGGGTTTTCTTATGAAGAAAGGAGGCATGGGTTCTCCCATTACTTCCTCTGCTGCAGTAGAGACATCTTCCATTACAATGTCCTTTGTCTCCACATAGCTGAAACAAGATTCCAGTGCAGGTAAATGAGCTGATGTCTGAGGCTCTCATAAACAGAGTACAAGAAACTAATGACCACAATAGCAACAGTCTGTTTAGGAGAGTAACTTTACCGTTTCTCTTCTGTAACAGCCTTCTCAGAAATGGTTTCTCGAGTCTCAATTTCTTCTGAAACTGCAAGGCAAATATGATATAGTGGATTTTAAAATACTTTAATAGTTATTAAACAGTGAGTTTAGTTGACACAAAGAGAGAGAAGGTTAAGTAGTTAGTTGGCCCAGAGGGCCAGGTACTTCCACTGAGGAAGCAAGTTAAGAGCCTCCATCAGCCCTTAATTGCCCTTTTCCTCATGTTCTTACAGCCCTATTACCTAACAGCCCTGGAATGCAATTTAAGGAATATGTTCTACTTGGGAGCTGAGAAAATGTCTAAGTTACATTACAAGTAATATGCAGTTAACAAGTATATTTATCACTGCAGGAAGATTATAATTTTACCTTTCACATGTAAGTGGCAAGATGTGCTGACACTCCCCGCCTTATTGGTAGCAGTGCAGGTAAATCTTCCACTGTCTTCTGCAAAGGCTTCACGAATCACAAGGCGAGCAAGCCCTGCTTTGAAAGTGATCTGGAAGTCCATTGAGCTCTCAATCTTGTAGTCTTCCCTGTACCATGTCACAGTAGGCTGAGGATGACCAGATATATGGCACTCCAGAGTTACAGACTCACCTTCAGTCACAGTCTTATTTTTGAGGCCCTGTAGGACAAAAAAATAAGTATCACAGTCAGTATATATTTTCACTACTGAACAGATATTTAAATAACTAAAACCTATTTGAATGGAAAATTTAACATCTAATTCAAAACATTGTTCTGTTCAGCAGTGTATCCAGGAAAAAAGAGGCATTTTCCAAAGGGAAGTATTTGAGACTGGATTTGGGATCTCTGAACATTACTATTATTAACAAGAAAATGAAAAGGTAGGTGGATGTTTATGCAGATCATGGTGAGAAATTGTTTCACTGCAGCAAAGATCAATCTACTGTGTGACATAATTGTGAAGAATCACCCCTGTAACAGACATTCTGAATAGTTTGTATTAGAGATAAATTGTATGGCTGCGTAAGTTTAATAGAGTTAAAAGATTAAACAAAGTATTTTATAGAGTTAAAAAGATTAAACAAAGCCAAATTTTCATGGTCAGGTTTTCAAAGATAAAAGTTAAAATACAAAATGAGTGAAAACATAATGTAACTCCCCTAATCTACATATATATTACTTACTGAGACTAAGGTGGGTGGAGTAGCAGGGATTTCTGCAGGCACAGGAACTCTGGCAGTTTCTGTCACCTAGGTTGTATAAAGCACAGTTAATAAACACCTAACAAAGCCAAGGACATAACGAGCAGAATTTAGATAAGAAAATAAATCAGGTAAAGAGAACTCTTTGCTTGTCATAGGTAAATATTAGGTCCTTAGAAGGATTTGTGTGAAACAGCAAAGAGATAAAAGTTGGTGGAATGCTGCAAAAGTGGAAAATTGCAATGAGGAAACAGAAAAAAAAGTGAGGCTGTGCTATGTTGTTAAGATGAAAATCAACGTGATGGAAATTTGCTTAATAACATACCTTTGCTTCACCTTCTTTCCGCAACACCAAGTGTTCTTCCCGCACTCCTTCACCTTTAATGCTTATACCTGTCTCTTTCTTAGTCTCAACATCATAGCGACTTTTATAGGTCTCAGCAGCCTCTCCAAAGGGAAACTGTGGAGGGGCAACTGGCTCTGCTTTTATCCTGACTTCATGTGGCTTTAGCTGAGGTGGTTTCACGGGCTTGGTGATCTTTTGCACAGCAGAAGTGGCTGATAACTCTTTTTCCAGAGTAGCCATTGCAGATCCAGCTATTGAAACCTGGGGAACAGAAGAGTTACAGCTTTGTTGTTCTCTTGTTTTCAAAGGAGAGCAGATTGCATATGCACCAGTTGCTTCCTTAGTTACTTATTTGTCGACACTGCAAAAGCTATACATGCAAAAATTACTTCTAGTTTTAGATTGCAATAGTAGAATACCAGAGATACAATATACTTGTATTATTTTGGATGTGTCTAACATGCAAATATTTTCTCTTTTTTTATTTTAGAATTTGATCTTTAAATGGTCAAGAAGCTCTTGTTGCTCCTGCAACATGAGAAATGTCCTCTAAATTTATTCACTTGAGGCCTTAGCTTTCCATTTAATCTGATACTGCAATAAACAATACTACTGATTTCATAACCATCAGTGATTAAAATAACTGAAGATATTTCAAAATGTTACTGTAGGTGTAGTAACTTTGGAAAAACTTACATAAATCTTTAAAGAAAAAATATTTTAGGTAATTTTTATAATGTTTAATTACATTTGAGGGAAAAAACAGTTCTTTTTTAAAGTTCAGGTGAAGAAGGAAAGTATGCTTGAATGAGAAAATTAATTAAATGGGAACTTTTAATATTATGTGAAGGATTCAAACAGAAGAAAGGAAAAAATAACATTAAAAATGGATGGTGTCATATTATGCAGTCTGGATTTTTTCTGTTTCAAAAATTAGCTTCATATGTAGTAATCTGCAAGGAAGAAAGATGTTTCCAATGTGCTAGTGAACTGATGTACATAATAAGATTGAAGAGGGATACTTCTGCTCTTTAAAAACATACGTTGCATGACAAATGTTTACGATTTCACTGTATGACATGAAGTATCAAAGCTGCATCCTTAAGCAGATGATAAGCTTGTCTAAATAACTAATAATTACAAATCACATTTTAGCAGTTTGTGTGTCTGTTTTCAGCACTGCACAGAAACTACTATGGAGAGCATACAATTCTTTTATTTTTCTTCTTGGGAAAGCACCATACTGGAGTGGGAGCAAAAGCCAAATAGAATGGGTGACCTACTGGTTATAAATGAGCATGCTGTTCTTCTTGGATACAGCTTTCACTTCTTACCTACCTCATATGCATGATCTGGTTTGGGAACAGCAATTTTGGAGACTGTGAAGTGAGGGCTTGCCGTGCGGGGTCGCGGGTGTTCAACATGAATTGTTTTCTCAGTCATAGTTTCTGTTGCTCTTTTTATCTACACAAAGGAATGAAAAAGTTGTTCAGAATGTGATACTCTTCTCCAAACCGAAACAGATTTCACTGGGACATAGTTTTTGGAAAAGAATGTAATGTAAACTGATTCTAACCTCTGTTGATACATGAACGTCCTTCTTTTCAGCAGCTGAGATATGTTTCTCAGGAGGAACATAGACAGTTTTAACTTCTTTAGTGACAACATGACGTTCTGCTGGGGCCTCAGCAACACGGTCTGTTACAGTGTGCTCTTTATAGCCATATTCCAAAGTTTTCTGTTTTACATAAGCTTCATCTGCTTGTACTGGTTCCCAGGGTGATCGAACACGTGCCTGATCAACTGCTGCAACAACTGTAGCTACAGCTTCAGCCCTTTTTCCAGCTTCAGTCTACAGATAACATTGGCAGAATTTATAGAAATATTCATCATTGTATTAAAGGTGTGCATATCTCGCAAATACTTATAAATATAATGCTCAGTAAAGTATATTCCAGACAAAGAAAGAGTGCATAGATATACAAAAGTAATAATGTAAACATAAAATTTGTTCACCCATAAATGCACTTCAGAGTCAGAAGATTCCAATATAGACATATTTTTTTCTAAGGTCTATCTATTCACATTCAGAACATATCTATGTTTGTGTGCTTCATACATATCAATATTTGTATGCAAGACCACTTTTACTACTTTATAGTCACATTTACAGCTACTTGTCTAAGAGTACAGCAGCTGTGTAAATGTGCACATAATTTTAAATTATGAGTCAGAGTGCTCATCAGCTCTATGTAACTGTTAGATGCTATTAAAAATGTAGAGAATGTCTAGCATTTGATGTGAATGTATTTAATAAGGAATATACCCATAAAAATTTTTACCACAGTCATATCTGTTAATTCAGTGCTAATCTATTTTAACTTATTTTACAAAAAAAGGAGTTTTCTGAGAAATTGGAAATAATGCATTTGTATCAGGAATTTTATTTGTTTCTAATAACTGATAAATCCTGTCAACTTCTATGTTATCAGGGTCCAAATTTCTGCTCAGTCAGCCAACAGTAGGTAATAGGATGATTACTACCAGTGTTTATTGCTACTGTCATAACTGATCTGGATGTAGCAACAGAGCATATAAAAGGCATGCCTTGTAGATGGGAAAAAACCTAATAGATAATGATTTTTAAATCAGCATGAAATTATCACCTTAAACTAAAATAACTTAAGCAAGGCCAAAATGTTTACAGAGACTTTGTTTTATTACTAAAGTAGTTGTTTAGGTTACAGAGATCTCTTTTTCAGTATCATTGCTGATTTCAAAATAATTTTTTATATCAACTTGAATTTGGCTCTAAATTTACATCATCTAACAGGTAACTGTGATCTCTTAACAGTCTGACCTCTCTGAGAGAGTTTTATATGCTATGCTATTTTAATTATATATTATAAAAGTATTTTATGAATGTACCGTACTGTTTTTAACAAAGTAGGTAGATAGACTTTAAATAAAACCTGTTGGCAACTACAGGTTCCACATATAAGAGTTCCTGGCTATGTTATAATAGAAAAGCTTTTCTGCTGTGGGAATGCTACTGGAACAAAGCAGTGTCAACAAGTGTCTGATTGTCAGAAGTAATATACTAGACAGACTTGAATGGATGTTAAAGTTTCTATTGTACAATGAACAATACAATTCAAACCTTAATAGAGAGAGGTTGTTCCTTCTGACAACCATAAAACTGCAAGGAATCATCTTGCAGAAAAAACGATTGCAGAGTCAAAAATTTGAACAAACAAACATTACTTGAAAGTCATTGGTAGGAAGCAGGCTTTCACAGAGAAATCCGACTGCAGTCTTAAAAGGGGCATTTCCTAACAGGGTGAGACGTAAACCTCTTTATCACGAGAAACCAAATCACGCTGACTCTGTTACTTGATAATCATCCCCCTTAATGTATATGTTATCGGGAATTAATTTGAGAGTGTGCTATTGCATCCAAGTAGCTCTTAAAAGGTGAGGTTTGCAGATAAAACAAATTGTAACAGTGCATTCCACATCTGCAACAGCTGTATTCACCTGATCATAAGATAGATGAATTTGTTCTTGCTTGGCTGTAATTTCTTCTCTAGTTCTGGACACTGTGACTGGTGCTTTGGGTTTATCAGTGGCAATTACTTTCGGAACTACAGTAGTTTTCTTGGCTTCCTTTTTAATCTAATTATTATAGCAGAAATAAAAATTTCAGTTACATATGATCTTGAAAGATATTTGAACAATGGGAAAGCATTTTGGAATGGGAACAGGGAAGGAGAATTAAGGGGTTAGATCCTGGTGCACTGCACACAGCTCTGTATTATATGTATACTGATAAGTATTGTTACTTTCTGACACCTATTTAAATAAAAGTAATGATTTTTAAAAAAAGTTAAAATGCATTTCAGGAGTCAGTCCATTCCAAAGGTCAGTCAGAAAAGAATTATGGGCATCCTATTAATGGAAAGAGTTAGGAGAGAAAGATAGAGGTGGAACAATATAGTCTAATAAACAGTAGTTCTAAAAGTTTGTAAGTGGAATAAATCTTAGAAAAAATGAACTACAAATGTATAGTTAGTATTTTTTTGAGGGACACATAATGTTTGTAGAGAAGAGAGGATAAAAACCCAAATATGGTTGTAACAGTTCTATTCACCTTTTCATGGCTTATGCTCACTTGTTCTTGTTTGGTAGAAATTTCTTCTTTACTTTTTGTTATTATGACTGGTGGTTGAGGTTTATCAGTGGTAATTACTACCTTAGGTACAGAAGGTTTCATATCTTCCTTTCTTATCTAGTTTTTATGGTAAAGAAAAATAATTGTAATCAATTACGCCTGTTGTCAAAATCACACAGCTTTTCAGGAAAGTGGGATAAGGTTTCAGAACGTGTATCAATAAGAGAAAAACATCACCTGAGAAAAGGAATAATTCCTTTGTACAGACCAAGTTATAGTTTATACGCCAGCTGAACAAAGTGCAAAGTCATTAACATATTGCATTAATCTGTGTGTAAATTAGAGAAGAATCTTCCCACTTCCTAGTTGTGATATATCATTGTCATGTTTTGTAAAAACCATTTGTATAAAAATGAGTGTTACTGACTTAATCTTTACTCCCATCAGTAGATGGAACCACTTCATTGGTTACCCCAACAAACAATGGTTCTACATGATGTAGCAGGTACATTCCAGTCCTCACACAAATATGAACTTCATTAAATCAAACTCCACGCATAAATATCATATCGTGAGAGATAACCTTTACAATTTATCTTCAGAAATCTACCTTCAGATAAAAAGCAAAGGTCATTAAGCATCTGATGAAATTCTGAGTACCCTGGCAATAAAAGCCATAATGCTCAAAAGATCTGTAGGAAGGGCAGCTGTAAACAGAGCCACTATGAGGTCAGTGTAACTGGACTTGCAGTGCTGGGCCTATATCAGGAATACATTCCTTTATAAAGTTTTCATTTTGTAGTCTTCTCTTCATGAAGAAGCAGAGCAAATATACGTAGCATGAAGAATGAGGTTTTATAAATTTATTGGAGTATAACAATTAGTTAAACATCTGTAACATTTATTTACCTTTTCATGAGCAATGTGCACTTGTTCGTGTCTGGTAGATATTTCTTCTCTAGCTCTTGATATTCTTTCTTGCTCTTTGGCTTTGTCTGTGGCAATTATTACTCTGGGTACTGGAGTTTTCTCTCCTTTTCTTACCTGCATGTTTACAAATAAAGAAGTTTGAATGATATGTTGATTAAAAATATAAGGTATGCGGATTTTTATACATTTGGAAAAGAGTATACAAAAAAAGGGAGGAAAAATGTCAAACTCTGGATTTCAAAATCATCTTGTCTGGAAACGACAACAACAATATAAACAGACTTTTTATAAAATGTATATACAGTGAGCATAAAAATAATAAAACATTCCACAAATGCTTGCTTTGCTATTGAATGCAGCAATAAAAAAATTGGATCAGAGAAAAACTGTCCTGCATCATAATCAGTTTGAGAAAGTGTAGGATATTAAAAACAAGTTTTAGGCAAAGTTTTACTTTGCCAAGTTCTTCAGATGTAACCTGCACATAAACACATAATTTTTTGCCCAGGTCTATTTCTGGTTTTCTGTACTTTAAAGGTAGGTTAAACTTTCTTCCTCATGCATTTAGCAAGAATGCAAATGTAACATTTCTCTATAAAAGCTGGTCTTCCATTAAATCACATTTGTTTGATAAAACACATGCTAAAATAGTCTGAATCCCATTCACTCATCAATATTTTCAAAATTTATTTTAATGCAGAATGAGTTTTTCCTCCTTTTTCTGACCCACTGTGTTGCCAACAAACAGAGCAAGCTACAAATGGCAAGCTTAGAAACAAAATCAGAAAAAAAAAAATTTGAAAATTTAAGAGATATTTCCTACATGTCAGTTCCTTAAATGATTTAGAATACTATCTAGTAAATCACCATGCAATAGATAAAAAAATAGATCTTTTTCTAAGTTAATGTTTTGCAAGTTTATCTATCACATTCTTAGGTATTAATAATGGAAGTGAAATAAAAAAGGAAAGATGGTTATCATCAAGGAGAAATAGAAGAATGATAGCAATGTAAACTAGAAGAGTGAACATATATATAAAGGAAAATAATATTACGGTACATCATTTGTCTTGTTCATAGGCTTGTCTTTTTGATGAGATACTAGATTTTTGAACAAGGTAGGATATGACAATCATAGATAACATCTGTATTCACCTTTTCATGAGAGATGTGCCTTTGTTCTTGTGAAGTAATTCCTTCTCTAGTTCTCGATATTACTGTTTGTTTTGTGGCTTTATCACTGGTAACTACTACTGTTGCCTCCTTTCTCATCTGATTTTCACAGCAACAAATTAAAAAAAAAAATACAAAGCCTTAAAATTCATTTTAACAAATTGATCATCAAAAGAAGAGGAGAAGGAAAAATAGAGAGGAATGCAAGTGAAGGGAAAATACTAAGGGAGAATTATTTTATTCCTAGTGAGGAAATTATAAAGAACATATTAGAGGAAAAACTTCATCAGTGTAGGAATAATGTTAGATAATAAATGACAAGGGAGAATGCAGGATCACTTTCATAGAAGGCATTCTTAAACTTAAAAACAGTTTAAGAATAATTAGTTCAGTCCTGCTATGATGGAAAGCAATGCAGTAAGTGATCCACGAGCACTCCTTTACAGTCCAGATGCTCTATATGAGTATGCATGCTTTTGTGGTGCACTGGGTAATATCTTGTTAATGCCTCACAGTGAATCATGCCTTGTTTGCCTGTGGGATGAAGAGATAAAGGACAAATCATAGAATGTCTGTGCTCTATTTCTACCTGCTCCTGAACAGGTTGAACATGGACTGCAGTCATTGCTGTCCTTTTAGCAGTTTGCTCTACAACACCTGGAGCTGGTTCTCTCACCATGGCTTGATCCACAGCAGCAACAACCGTAGCAACAGCTGCTGTTTTTTCACTGTCCTTTCTCACCTATATTAGTCACATGAAAAGACATTTTTCATGTTTTACATACATCCAGTAGAAGCACAAAACAAGTACAGAGACAGAATGTTGCAAAGCAGCATTTAAATATTTGCAGCAGAACTCTCTCAAGAGCAGATACACATATTTATACACAGCTACTTGGGTTCCATTTAGCAGCTCTATTCAGCACTGGCGAGTCCACACATAGAGCAAAACCAAAGCTCTTTCCAAAAATAGACTTTACCTCTCTAGCACCAGCCGCAACCTCACCAGCAGCAGCACCACTAATCGTAACTTGTTCTTGGACCCCATATCTCCCCTCCCATCTTTCTTCAGTTCTTATTTCAGCAGCGCTTGTAGATACTCTTGTTTCCTTCATCTGGGCTTCTGTGGTTACAGCATATCCTTCCTGCTTCCATGGAGGAAGGACTTCAGCCCCAGCTGTTGTCACTACATGTGTTTTACGGATCGGAGAAGGAGATTTCACTGGTCTAATAGGTGAGGTGGAGATTCTTCCAGCAGGAGAAACAGACCTAATGAAAAAATAAAGTATTAATATAATTAATGTAGCGTTCATACAACAACAACTATATAAACAACTTCAGCCTGAACTTGAATTCACTCCTGATTTAGGGTATCTTCAGCACTTTGTAGATTTTTAAAAAGTTTTTGAGGTGTTCTACTTGTAAATTACACTTACCTGTTTTTAACATTATGCCTAATGTGTGTTTTTGTCATCTTTGTCGTAGCTTAGTTAGATTTCCAAAAAGAAATAAGGGCAAATGTCAAAGGGCATTTCACTCAAGTACATACATTTAAAATATAAAAATACATCATTAGTTTCAATTGCTCTATCTTAATTTTCTTAACAGGAGTAATACAAAAGGCTTACAGGCTGTGACTATTACATATTATATTTGTAGTCCAGTCTCTGTAGAGACACAAAATGATTAGTGTAACTACTCTTTGTAAAAATACTCTGTGGCAGCCACCTAGCAACAACACAACTGTATCTACTGCTACACCACATCTCATTTACATGTGTCGTCCATACATGTGTTCAGACTCCAGGCAAGCTTCTAATCAGGGCTATATTTTTTCCCCATGCTTACATTTACAAATATCAGCCACAATAATTGGTGGCCACTTGGGAATGCTAGTTTCTAAATTCTGATATTCCAAAAATTCAATCCCAGTCCCAGCAGATAGTTTTAAAGCATTTTTCAAAATGCTTTAACAGGCTTTCTAACTTAGATTTTCTTTGACAGGAAATTTTTTATTCTGCATTTCCCAGATAACATTAACAGATTGCAGCAGTAGGGGGCATCAGCATCATATTATTTTTTATATTTATTTTCTAACGTGTTGTATGTCTAGAAGTGGTTTGACTATCAGAGTACAAACTTCTAGTTCTATATGCACTCTAGATGGCACTGTTGAATTATTCTTTCATCTATGTAGTTAGTTATTGCTAGTTACTATCAATACATTTCTTCCTGCCCTTGCAAGTTATTCTCCATGAGGCAAAATTCACCAGCATACCTAGCTCTGGCAATTTAAATGGGTCTCTTCTGAGTGCTCAGCTTGGAGATGTTCCTTCCAAGACACTAGTGCTTCACGATGCTGAAACTGCAGGACTTCCAAAGCAATTTTCTCTTTACCTGCCTCTCAGCACAGACCTCCTGGGGTCTACCAGATCATGAGTCCTGCTCTTCAAATCACTCACTTTCCATCTCAAGACCCTTTATGCCGCAAAGCTAGCCTTCATTTTTCCATAAGCACAATTACACTTTGCCTACCTTCAAATTATTATTTCTGCAGTCATTACCAGCATACACATAGAACGTGTGTTTGCATTTTTTGACAAATCCTTCCATTCTGTTTGCCCTCATCAGAGTGTCATTGCTCTTATCTCTGTTCATCTAAAATAATCAAGGGCCAACTGCCCTATTGTTTTCTTCTCTTTCATCATGAACTTGGAGATTTGAGTGCTACTTTAGCTGTATGTAGAGCAATCAAATGGGATTTATTCTCTAAAGGATTTTCTTCCATATGGGATAGTAAATTTACATAAGAGGCATGCACTTCTGCAGCAGTGGCAAATATAGCACGTTATAGCTCACAATCAGAATATACTTGATCAGTATTAAGTCAGTGCATTCTTCCATCTTATACTAAGCTCTTGTTCTACAGCATTACTGCCACATGTGAAAGTGATTCAAAAAGCGATCTTGTTTGAAAGAATAGTAAGTTTACCTTACTGGTGAGGGTGTTGGTGCTCTGACATGTCTTACAGGTGATGGTGATTGTCTAACAGGTGATGGTGATTGCTGTCGTGCCATTTGTGCTTTTGCAGCAATTATCGGTGGGGTTGGTGATTTTGATGTAGGTCTAGGAGGCATTCGTGGAGGTGCCTTGTGTGGGAGCTGTTGGGCTGTTGCACCTTCTACAACCATTTCAACACTTGTAAGTGATCTGGCATCAAAGTGGGTTTCAATCTTCTACAACGAAATCAAGAAAACAAGTCTGAGATACTGTAGAAGCAGTCATCCACATTTTAGCTTTACCTGCTTTGGTTTTGAAAAATATACCTTTTCAATTCTGGCTTGTCTTGTTTCGGAAATCTGAGCAGTCGAAACAATTGTCTTTGTCTTTTTAGCAGGAACGGCTTCTTCCTCACCTTTTGGAAGAGAAAACATGGTCAGGAGAATTGCATATGGCAAGAAGAAATAAGCAGTTGCAGAACTAAATGAATGGTCAATTCCAATTATATACAAGTGTATATAAACAACAGAGAAATAGTTAAGCAACCATCTGTTTTTCCTGCAGTATCTATAGACAGATAATTGGGAAAACTGTTTAAATAATATTTCTGCATTACTATGTCATTAGAAAGCAACCAAAACAAAACACATTTATTGTAGGTTCTTCAGAATCAGTCCTGGATCTCAAATGACTACAGAGCCTGCAAGCCTGACTGAGGTGAAATCCAAGCAAGACTGCTCTGGGTAGAATGATTCACTGCTACAATTCTCCTCTAAGAACTGTCTGCATCCTTACCAGGGTCATTTACAAGACCATGTACAGTTATGCAGTTTAATATATGGATTCTATCAAAGCCAACTTACAAATACAACTTTGAGAAATCTACAGAAAGAAATGAGAACAACTGAAAGTATTCTGCTTTTTTCTGTCTACTGTATCCTCAGTTTAAAGACAACCCACTCTGCAGAAAAGGTCCTTTTAAAGTCTCAGACAAAAATCTTTGGCAAATTTCACCAATGATGCTGCTTTTTCCCAGCAAGTTAATAAGTCTTGAGAAAGAAGTTATAAATGAACTTATAACTTTGATGAAGTGGTGCATATTACATTACAACAATGAATGCTCTCTTATTTTCATGGCTTGCAACTTCAACTCCATTACCTTGAATTAGCAATTCAGCTGTTGAAGTAGCACGTCCCACATTATTCGTGGCATTTACTGAATAGGTACCGGAGTCTTCAGGATATGCTTCTGCAATTATTAAGCTGTAAAGGTCTCCTTCTTGTAAAATTTGAAAATCGGGGGAGCTTTGGATTTCTACTCCATCCCGATAGAACTTCACCACAGGTGTAGGGATTCCAGTCACTCTCACGTCAAGCCGAACTTGACTTCCCTGCCTTGCAGTCATGCTCTGTAGTCGTTGTGAGAAGTTTGGTGGTGCTGTTCCAGCTGCAGATTTATTGATGAAATAAATAGAAAAACAATAACTTCTGTTAAAAAGAACTGTAAGGCTAGATATTATAATTACTAGAAGTGCACAAGGTCAATTTCTCCTTCACATGCTACTGACAGATCATACTACTTTCTCAAACATTCAAAACATTAAGAGTTGATTTGCCAGAATGCAAACAACCTTAACTTTCTTTCATGTGTTTAAAATTTCTGATATTTCTGATTATGCCCATGATTGCAAATGTTTCTAGAATTAGAGATACATTGATTATAACCATAGGTAGTAAGCACAGTCTCTTGGGTATGGCTCTTTATGTCAGTTATTCTGTTAAGTATCATTCATATTATTA